TACATCTCTTTTTCATGGCACTGCATTTTGAACACCCAGCAGTGTAAATAGTCTCCAGTGATGAAAAACGGATCCTTTACCAAAGATACAATATAAACATTCATAAAGACATCTTCTACAAAAAAAGGGGGGAGGCCTTTATAAAAAAAATAACAATAAAATAAAAAAGCAACCTTCTTCCCCCCCCCTTCATGAAATATGGAAAGAAGTATTTGCAATGAACTGCTTCCTGAAAATCAAAACATTTCTAAAGAGTTGCATCATGAATAAAAGATATGTTAAAAGAAGGCTACAGATGAAAGTCATTTTACTAGCTATGATCGATTTATTCACCATATTCTTCAAATCTGGCCCTGTCAGGTTATCAAATTTTTCAGTATTTCAAAGCATTTTAGTGGAATTTTCTTTTTAATTTGGTATACAATACCTGAAAATAATTGAATTCCCTCTTCACACAAAAATGCAAAAGTTTCAGGGAAGTGAAAATTTAAAATTAAGATGGGAACAATTTGTTAACTATCACTGTTAAATGCATTCTGCATTTTTTTAATCCACACTAAAAAGTTACATTCCTTATAAGATATGCATTTAATAGTCTTTTTGCTTTCTACATTATATACCATATTTCCTCACATATTCCCCCCCCTTCTTTTTTCACTATCAAGAAGGGAAAATTATGGGAATAATTTAATTTTCAAAGGGCATGGTTACATTAAGAGCATATCAAATGAAAAGAATTCATGAATAAACTACAACTATGCAATGTTATTTCTAAAGAAGAAACATTCTAATAAGAATACATGGTAATATTAACCTTACAACATACAATATCTTCACTTCTACTTGAACCTCACCCATTCTTTGTTATCTCTGCCACTCCTTAGGCCTCAAATCATCCATAAATAATTACAGAAGGTGAATGTGGAATTGAATCTATGAAATCAAACCAACTGTTAGTTCATGTTTACTTCGACTGGATGGTTCTTGAATTATGCTGACATAATGTTCAACCGTAGAATAAAAAAGTTCAACATGACCTTTGCAGGGAGTTTGTTAAAGTTTATCTTCCTTAGTAAGACAAAAGCAATCACTACACATGCAAATTTATTTTTTAAATTTAGGGAAGCTTGCTCTCTGAATGCACTCAGAAATGGCAAAATTACATGAATATTTTTAAAATTTTCAAAAACTGGGGTTAAAAAGCTAGAGAGAAAATATGCAAAACAGAAATGAATACAGAAAAATGAAAATGGCTTTCTTCATTAACAATTTTCTTTTACTTTGAAACACCATTTTTCCTTTTAACCCTCTGGCTACTCATCCCGCAATTTCCACAAGCAACTCAAATGTAGCAAAATCTGCTCATCCTGCGATTTCCGCGGGCATGTGTTCTTCTTCCTTTATTGAGGAGCACATCCCGTTTTTTCCCCGTTTAACCACTGAAATAAATTATATACAGTATTAGACGTTTAGTTTACACTTTGGCTAACAGATATCGTTAACTGTCCATTAAATTGCGGCGTTTGAAGGCACGTAGTATTACTGCTCAAACTCCACTTTTGTCGCTTTTTTCTTACAGAAATGGCTGCTAGAAAACAATCAGCGATTATCTTGATTATTTAATTAAATTATTTAATTATTAATTAGATTTATTGATTATTAATTAGATTTATTGAATCTGGTGCAAAAACTGTGAAGTTGGACTTTGCCTTGAAACCTGTTTTGTACTCTTATCATACTAAACTGCATTTCTAAGATATTTTTTCCTCAGTGCTTTATATTTTCTTAAATTTTATATATTTTACTTTTTTATATTATGCAATAAATAGAAATTAACTTCAATTCAAATGAAATTTATTTTTAAAAAAATTTTTGGACGATAACGTCTGAAATTGGTTTCTCTGGCAACATAGTTTCTCACAATAAAAATCTATATAAAAGATATTTTCTAGAAAGGAAAAATGCATTTTTCAATTCTCCAATATATACAGATTTAAAATATGCAAAAAAAAAACTACACAATTTTTGAAGCGACTTCGGTCTACAAATTGACCAGTCAGAGAGTTAAAAAATATCCATAATTTATCATTGAATGTTTAAATTTGAAATGCATTGAGGCATGAATACTTTCAAAGGGGCATCTTAAAGCATTTAAAGGCATGTGATGCATGCCTTTAAGATTGAAATTGTGAAAAATGAATTATTATTTTTTAACTCAATGATACAGTTATTAGTTACTTTAAATATACAGCTTCACAATGCATCATCAATTTTATTTAGAATCCTAAATTCAAAACAAAACAAACTGTACTCTATCATGCTAACTATTCTGCATCTGCATTGTGTCTAAATACTAACATCATTTACAAAACAATTCAAAGTATCCAAGAGAAAACACCATTTCCCTTCTGACCTGCCACAAAAGGAAAGAGTTTGTAAATTTTTCCCTACCTGCATGTGGTGTCCTTATTACATCCAGTGGAAGTATTACTTCTTCAGCATTAAATTTGGTCAATTTATTATTACATTTTAGGCATTATTATTAAGCAGAGGCTAGTTTTCTGCTTCGAAATTTACATTGTACTGTACAGTTAAGTTTAAAACTGTTTATTTAAAGATGGTTTATTTTAAAGATGATTATTTTTCTTTCTGGGGTTCTTTCAAAGCTCCATACCATAATAAAGCCAATATATATATATATATATTATATATTTAAGAAATTTTTAAGCATGACTGAAAACGAGAGAAACAGAAGAATTATTAATGGGTTTAACCAAGGTTTAGATTTTGATCGCCCTATGAAAAATAAAAATTACTTTAAAATGATTAACATTAAAGGGCACACGCAGCAACATATACAATAAAAACATAACAGATATGCAAATTACATAATGCAAGAAAACTAGCTAATTAATAGTTTATGACATTAAAGGACAAGTTTCTTTTGCCATGTTATAAAGTTAACAATTTCAGTGTGTTATTAGCATTTAAGACATGAAACATTTCACTCTGATTAAGACATTTCGCTCTGATTCAGTCCATGTATGGTTTTGGTGCTTCTAATTTTTTTAGTGCACTGGAACTTTAAACAAGAGAGACTCCATTGAACTATTGAACTGGAATATTAATAGAAATCCCACATTTTGTTTAGCAGTTAGTAAAACTGATATTAATGGTAGATACAGAATGAACGACTCAACTTTCCTGGGAAGAGCAAAAAAGGATGAGAAAACTTCAGCTACTGAGGAAGAAAATTCTCGTTGCAAAACCAATAGGATGAGGAATTTTTATGGGCTACGTTCATTTAGTCAAACTGCCTAAGCAGATAAGAAATCATAATTAACACACCCTTATACCTCTATGGGAGGAATACTAACAAAAATATTTACTTTTGCTTCATTATTCCCTTGGACTGCATAGTGGCTCATAAAGGCTGACCCCTAATCTGAATTACAGGGTGAGAATTTGAATGCCATGCAAGGCTTGGTTATTTATGTGTCCTTTCAGCTCCTTTGAAAGTAATATCAGACCATCCCTTGTGGATATCCTGTGTAATGTTACTAGTAATTAGATGACTAAATGACTAATCAGTTTAGTTACTCATAATGTATGAGAAGTAAGTATTCAGACATTTGGAAAAAAAAAAATATCTGAAAGATTTTAGATTTTAAATTATGTCCAAAGGGGCTTTTTTTTAACATTTTGTATGTTACCTTTATTTATTAAATATCATGTTCTTCACACTTAAACCATAAAATTTAGTTCAAGAACAATATCTCAAAATAATTTTAAATTGAACATATCTTTAGAATTTCCAATACACAGTCTCAAACGCTGGAGATAAAAATGTTTTTTTCTGTACAACATTGCCCCTGCTCGCTTTGATATCTTTGAGTTTGTTAATCAAAAATTCGTTTTACAAAATATGAAATCGATAATAAAATAAATTCAAAATTTCAAATTTGGGCTTCCAGATGCCCATATTCGCAGTAGGATTACATCATTCAGAACTGATGGCTCTAGGTACCGTTGATTTATCCCAATGCAAGAAACATATATACATTTATAAATAATTGCATACATTTATGCAGATTCTTCATTATTTAATTTCTTCAATATAAACAGGGAATATATTTGGTGGCCCACAGTGAAAGTGAACCATTCAGGACTGATTCAATGCAAAATCACAAAAGGAAAACAATAGTCCCTCAGGGACAAAGCCCCTTTAGACTAAAAAAAAAGAGAAAGAAAACCTAGCCTTTATCATCTGTATCATGCCTTGTTATTATAACCTTAATTACCTTTCATTTGTTTAAACAGTTTTGACTTTATTATTTCTTAACTTTATTATAACTAATTTCTTAATATTTTATGTCTATATTTTATCTGGCACTAAGATGAATTAATAATTGATTAATATAATTTATTTACTCATTATGCTTAGTAATATATTATAGCACCATCTGCATAAATCAGGCAAAATTGAGTAATGACCTTAAATTCGGTGAATATGTGCATTTCATTATTTTACACATTTCATTTTCCACATTCATTTTACACGTTTCATTTTCATTTTCATGTTATTTTACACATTTCATTTTCATGTGATTTTACATGTTTCACGTTTTACACGTTTCATTTTTACACGTTCATATTTTACACGTTTCATTTTCCCGTTATTTTACATGTTTTACATTTTCCTGTTTTTTTACACATTTCATTTTACACGTTCATACAATTTTCATACTGATATATTTAACAATATATTAATATGAAAATACTACGATCAATTTTTGAATACATGCAATTCAAACTTCATTCCATTTGATGTTTAGCAGCATGGCCTTCATAAAAATTCAGGATATGTCCCTACTTCTAAATTATATTAGCATACAAAATATTGATGTAATTTTATTTATTAAATGTATTTTAAAAGTTATTAAGCTGAAAACACTTAAATTAAATTTTTGCAATCTACTGTAATAATAATATTTACTTACCATATCCATTACTCTGTCATCAACGTCTGACATGTCTTCTTCTTCACTAACTATTTCTTCATACCCATCATCTTCTTCAGTATTTTCGCCATCCTGAATTTCACCTTCAGACAGATTATACATATGTTCACCTGGAACATGTTCTCTTGATATAGGTTCAAAAAAGTTGTGATGCATTTCTTCTTCTCTCCTATCATCATACATTTCAACTGGCTCATCTTCCTTAGGTGTGCGTGGCCCAGAACTGACCTTATCTACATCAGGTGGTGTTTGAGGTGTATGAGGTCGCATTTTTCTGGGAGAAGGTGGAGTCGTAGGTCTTTTAACCTCACGAATATCTTTACGATTATTTCTCTCCAGAAAATTTCTATCACGATTTCTGTCCCTGTCACGTTCTCTATCTCGGCTACACGAATCTCGAATACGTTCACGATCACGTTCTCTGTCTCTATATCTATCTGAATCAACAGAAGAACGTTCCCAACTAGCTTCCCGAGATCTACGACCTCTTTCCTTCCTTTTAGAATCATGATCTCGAATACGGTTTTCTTCTTCTTTGTAATCATGCATATCTCTTTCCCAAGGCCTATCCCTATTCCTATCTTTGGAAATAATATCTTTTTCTCTGTGAATGGAAGGATGTTCAAGCAAAGCAGGCCTAACATAGCTATCATGTTCATGTCCACTCACATCTGATGGTCCATGATGATCTTTTGTTTCCCACATAGCTCTGCTATTGTCTGGAGGAGGTTGGTATATATTATCTGGTGGTCTATTATATATTTGATGATCATATGGCTCATTCTGAGGTTGATATTGTTCCTCTGGAGGAGGCCAGGACTTGGGATAATGTGTTTCATATTGCGTATATGGTGCTGGAGGAGCAGATACTTGAGGAACTGGAACAGATACACATTCTGAATAGACTATTGGAGGTGGTGGCTCTGAAAAAGTTCCAATAACATTTGGAGGCATTTCAGAAGCATATCCAACATGCTGTTCAGCTTGCTGATGAATTATCTGTGGAACTTCAACAAATCGAGGAGCTTCTACCACTGGAGGATGAGCTCTGACTGGTGGTGGTGGAGGTTCAGGAGGAACATCAGAAATTCTTGATTGACGCTCCCACTCTGATATTGAAGAATCACCAACAGGAGATTCAAAATCTTTTGATGAGCATATATCTGAAAAAAGTATTTTACATTTTAGAAGTACAGATCAACAGTAACACAGATTATTTGGCACTAGCTTTATATTGAAATTATCACCTTTCACTACTCATTGAATAACACCAGAAAGGCTTTAATGGAGCATTTCTGCTGCTATTTAATAAGAGATTTGATAAAAAATTAGTTGATATTTATTTAACATATGGGAAAAACTATGTAAAATCACTTATGTAACAATTTCATTCTATTGCTACAAATGAAACCTCTACATACAAAGCAACAATAAGCAATTCTTTCCACTAGGCCCTTCAAGAGCTTTTACAGTCTATTAAGTGACCAAAAATAAAAGTAATAAATTAGTTTTAAAAAAATAAACTGAAAAACAAAAATAAAATAATACTGAGAATATTTTCTTTTAGTTAAAAGAAAAAAATTAACAAATGAAAATAAAAATATAATATTGAGATTACTTTTAATCTTCTAGACTAAGTTTAAACTCCCCCCCTAAAAAAACATCTTTTTATGCAAGTTGGAATACTGATTTATGTACAATTATTGAAAAATTAATAAAAAAAGGGATATTGTCCCAACTAGCAATCTGCTAAATTTTGTTAGTTAATTAATCAGTTTTTTACTAGATGGCGCCAACTTTTTTTCAGACTTGTTTGCAAAAGCAATGTTTATGCTTATCGGTTCTTTCATATGCAATTTTTCTGTTGAATTTGCAAAGAATTTTTAAATGCTGTCTTTAAATCTTCATTATCAATTTACTCTCAAAAAAATTTCATGTTTACACGATTGCAAGATTCAATAAGATTAAAGTTGTTGAAACCAATGATATGATCAATATATCTGTAGGTAAAGACAAATTTTTACAGGTCATTTACTGAAATTGAACAAGGAAATTTTTAATCTTTTGTAAATAAGTAAAGGTTGCAAATCCATGTTGAATAATTTGTGCCCAAATACAGATGCTGTTTATTTGAAAATAATATAGCATCCTGAAATTTGATGTAATTATGAAAATGTGAGCAGCTGAGACCAGCTACAAGTATATAAAATATTAATCATCTTTGGAAGCAATTCAGGTAGTTCTAGTAGACCACTGTAGATTTCTTTAAGCAGCAGTGATGAATAAAGATTTTCAAAGTAATAGCAATTGATATCAGATTTTAATCGCTTTAACTGCTTTAAAAACAAGGTTGCTATTAATGATCCAACTAGCATTCTTTGCTATCTTTATCAAAAATAAGCTCACAAAACTTTTTTAATCTAAGAAAAAATGTAGTCAAAACTTATTTTTATGGTTTTTGGTGCCATTAGCTATTAAATTTGAACGTTCTTGGTCTTTTATGAAATTTGGACAGTGCAAATAAGTATGAAAATCTATTGCACTCAGAATTAAGTGATAATTTAAGTTTCTTGTGAAAACAAAAAAGATTTTTTTAATAACTGCTCTTTCATTACTTTTAAAAGCTCAGTAAGTAACTGGTTGATTAAGTTCTTTTTCAAAAAGAGAGTTGCACAATTTCTTACAGATTACGCTGAAATTGCTACTTGCTTTGTCTATTTTTGAAAGAGTGAATATATTCAGAAATTTTCTTTTTTAGCTCTAACTAAAAAATCAAACCTTTAAAATTATGACTTCTATTATGTGCTAATTTGACTCAAAATAGCTTGTTTGCATTCCATAAAAGTTTGAGTTGGAAGAGTATATTTAAAGCTGGTTCAAAAAATGAAATCGTGTATATAGCCTTCAAAGCTCTTGGCCTTTTTTTTTTTTTTTTTTTTTTTTTTTTTGTGTGTGTGTGTGTGTGTGTGTTAACAGAGTACCACATGGCACCAAATGCTGCTGTAAAGTATATTTAAATTGGAATGGTCACCTTAACATTACATACAGCTTCATGAAAAAGGAATAGTTACTTTATTTAACACAAAATAAATATTAAAAATTAAGACAGATTCGTGAATAAGAACATATATATAATTATTCCAATCAACAATTTAAAGTCATTCATTCTTAGCAGCAGTTCAAAAAATTCTTACAAAATGAGCTCTTGACATCAGAATGAGCATTAAATAAGGGAGGCATATTCACACCTTTATAACAACACTGATTTAGTAAACTTTTCTTTTCCCAATATGACCTTTTCTTGCAGTGCCATTCCCATGTTTCGGTGTGGTTTTCTAAAAAATCTCACAGTATGGATGACACCTTCATCTTTGAAAAATGTAATAAAAACTTCGTCATTTGGAAATTACAAAAAAAAAATTGTGATTCTTTTTTTAAAAAGAAGAAGTCCAGTAATAAAATTACTGAACACTAGTAGTTTGACCTGGGTCCATTCCAGGTAAACCATCTGGCTGCACGGGCATTTTTATGGTTTTCACCACATGTAACATGCATGGGAGTCAGTTTCCCTTAGAAAATCCTCAACAAAGGCACCCCATCCCTAAGGTAGATAGCTCTTGCTTGAACTTGACAAACTTGAAAAAAAGAAAAATAAAAGAAAAAAAACATTTTTTTTTTTTTAATTAACACTTCAACCAACAAGCAAAACGAAAAAGTCTGAAAGGAAAATTGGTTGATCTTTACAATATGGTAACTGGTAGTTTGGCAACATTTTGGAGGCGATAAAGGTACCTGGGACTTTGGTAATAATGTGAGCAGTACTCAGTTCCGATTACGCATTATTTTGCGTGAGGGAAATGAGAGATCATGGGATATGTCATGTGATATTAATGGACGAATTACGGTTCTTTAATCGGAAAAGGGTGGAAATCGGGAAAAAATGTGGAAATTTTGTATTTAGCTTTATTCTGTGTTGTGTGAAACAGTGTTGGTTAATTTTTGGATCCCATGGCCATAACTAAAGTGAATTCGAAATGGGTATTTAGTGGTATTGAAAAGGGTAGTAATAAATGTTTGTTTAAGGTTGTGCGAGATAGAAATAAAGATGTTTTATTAAGTTATTTATTTTACCTGCTACCTTGCTGTGAAATATAAGTATGATTTAAAGATCCTGAACAGAAAGAAAAAAGTTTATCGACACGTAATCAAGATCTGAGAAGATTAGGTAAGTTAGTATTTTTAATTATTTGAGGATATTATTTTTATGCATTGTTCTAAATGTAAGGTGGAAAGGAATTTGGCATCATTGGGAAAATTGTTATTAGCAATGATTTAGTTTAAAGTAATTAGGATTGTAAGGTAATTTTATTAATTTAATGTATGTGCTCATTTATATTTTAAGTAGTGTTTTGAATTTAATTATATTTTAATGAAATGATAGTTATTTTGTGAATTTTGTTTGTAGGAATTTGGTATATACGTTTTAGTTGAAGTAAACGTGCATGGAAATAATTTAATATCTGACACTAAGTATTTGGTAATGGTTTGCAGTATGAATTCGTTGGTGACGTTTATAATATAATAGATGATTTAGAGGTAAAAGTTTTTGGATATTTTATTTATTTTATATGTGAAAATGTTCATATTTGGAAAGGGTAAATACTTTTTCGCGATCAGGTAATTTCATATATGTTCTTTTTACCGGGTTTAAAGATTGAGAAAATTGTCATGTATTTTCGTGAAATTTTTCTAATGTATGAGAAAAAAGCAATGTACATGGATATAGTGAAGAGTGTGCGCAATGCCATTTTTATGCAATTCTGGGATATTTTTTTAAGTAAAAATAAGTCGACGTGTACATGGTTTAGTGATATTTTAATTAAATGATAGTTATTTTGTGAATTTTATGTTTGTAGAAATTTGGTATACGTTTAAGTTGAAGTAAACTTGCATGGAAATAATTTAAATATTTGATACTAAGTATTTGTAATGCTTGCGGTATGAATTCGTTGGTGAGTATAATGTAATAGATGATTTAGAGGTAAAAGTTTTTGGATATTTTATTTATTTTATATGTGGAAATGTTCAATTTGGAAAGGGTAAATACTTTTCGCGATCAGGTAATTTCATATATGTCTTTTACCGGGTTTAAAGATTGAGAAAATTGTCATGTATTTTCTTGAAATTTTTCTACTTTATGAGAAAAAAGCAGCGTACATGGATATAGTGAAGATTGTGCGCAATGCCATTTTTGTGCAATTCTTGGATGTTAAGTAAAAATAAGTCGGCGTGTACATGGTTTATGTGTATGTGTTATTTTGAAAAACGCGTAAGGAGTATGGTATTGTGCACTTTTTCCCAATTTTGCAGTGAATATTTGTCATGATTAAGCAGTTTTGTTTGATAAAATTTCTAGCATAAGTGTAATTCGGCTAGTAGATTGTTGGAAGAAGTGTTCAGTAGATAAAAAGAAAAGAAATATGTCTTTGTCTTACTCGTGTGAAGACAAATGGTGGCGCGGGAAAAAAAAATAGAGGGTTGCTGTAGGAGAGTTGGTTGCCAAATTTTCGCCAAAAAATCGCCAAGTTACCATAATGTAAAGATCAAACAGAAAATTATTGGAAGGATGCTTCTTCACACTTATTCAGAAAGACAACAATGCACAGCTACTCAGGAGGTAAAATAATGCATTTGGCACTTTGATACATTGTTGCATTTACAGTCTCATGAATTTAAAAATATTGATTTTCAGGACTATATTATTCGTTCTACAACAAAAAATTAAATTTACAATCATATTCTTAGCATCAATGGATCACAACTCAGTTATATCACAGAAGCAAATGCTTTTAATAAATAATTCAACATTTAAAAAATATATTTTTTAATTATATCATATTTTTCAACGCTGCAAAATTTCTTAACATGTAGTTTATTTCTCTCTTTATTGAAAGCATTTATACTTCCACAAAAAAAAAAAAAAATTAAAGTTAGTAAGAGTGTAAATATTATAAGGTTTCAAATACAAGTATCACAAAAGACGTTACGACTTCTAAAATGAAAATAAGAAGGAATACAAAAGAAAGAAGTATCTACTGAGACATCATGAATATGCACACACATATAAGATGAAGTATAAAAATAAATCCTGGTCAATTATAAAGAGAATAGTATCTAATGTAGGATGCCAAATGACTGAATGCCTAGAATTTTAGTTCCTTATGATAATAAGAGAAATCTTTCATACTTATAAAACCAGTGAGCTAAAAAAAAAATATAATACAGATTACATAAAAAAATTCAGGAATGATTAATAACTTTACTCACCTTGTGCTTGAGGCCTAGAATTTGTCTGAAGAGGGGGAGGTGGTGGAGGAGGTGGTGAGGATCTTTCTTTTGTAGTTGTTTTTGTCAAGACACCATATACTGCCAATGTTACAGCATTATACCATCCTCGCAAAACTAATCCATCTGTGGGAATCTGCAATTATATTTTCCAAAATGTATTGTTTTGTTTATGTTTGTATTTTTAAGAAGTTTAAAGAATAAGTTTACGTGGTCATGTAAATTAAATCATCATTCAAAACACGAATACATAGCAAAACAGGAAGAAAAATGCTTTTGTTTATATTACTCTTATATTTCGACAGAAGTTAATGGGAGAAAGAAGATCAATACAGTACAAAGTCCGAAATCCGGACATCCAATACCCGGAATGATCTAAAATCTGGACCTCAAAACTGCCAACAACTTTTTTTTCATTATAAATGCTTTACGTATGCGCATTGGATTTTTTCACTCCGTAGATAAAACATGTGGAGAGTCCCGATTTTTAATTTCTCTTCGGTACTAAATAAATACTTCGTTATTGAAGAAACAATAATTTAGCATAAATTTATATGAACAATAATTTGACTTCATACCTGCCATCTCAAACCGAAACATTCTATATAGAAACTTCAATCTTACTCCTACTAATATTTTATACCTTGATGCCAACCTGGCAAATCATTAGTTATTATATTTTGCTTTCATCACTGCAGGTTTATCAACACATGACAACTTGGATAATGACTCATACAGAGATGCCCAAACAACTTTTTTTGTTTTATATTAGTAACTTTTTATATTAGCACAAAGATTATGGTAACCTTTTACATTGACATTCTTACGTTTGGTAATGATTACAGCTCTAAGTTAAATAAGCTAAGAAATACTGACGAGAAAAAATTTAACAAAAGTTTCTTTCCACATGCTAAAAATAGATTTTGTTGATGATATTCATAGGCCAAAAGATTACATTTAGTGCTATTTGAATTAAGAATAATTGATTTATTTTTCACATAAACCCAGAGCCGGTGCCACAGCTTGTATGGCTGCCTGGGTGGCAGAATTTAGGGAAGACAAGATTTTTGGAATTTAGAGAAGCACTGAGCTACAAAATTAAAGGATGAAAATATTAATGAATTTAGGGAAGGCACTGTCATCCAAAATTTAGGGGCCACAAAAATTCAGAACTTAGAGGCTTATTAGCAGAGACTACATCATGGGAATTTATTTATTCAGGATTCAGATAAGCCTTAAGCATGTGCAAGAAATAGGCATAAGCAGAATAAATAACTAAACTAATGCAATCAGGCGTGTCTTAAGGCGTGATGGAGGCAAGACAAAATTTAACGGAACAAGTTGTCTTTCGTCTCCAATCTCGACACATAGCCAATGCATAGCGGACGCTATTAAGCTAAGCTAAAATTATACTTTACTGATTCCAAGAAATTTTAGCCAATATCGTAGATTGTGCTGTTCGTTAACTTTCTGATCTGATCCAGCATTATTACTTTTGGCGGGCTGTTTTTATCATGGCAATTTGATGAAAATTAAAGTTTCAGCTTTCGATCATGTCAAAAAGAGTTTATAATTCTGGAGCTGTAACAGGATTTACAAAGCAAAAGCATGTTTCGATGCCCACTATACAAAATGTGGAATTGCTGCAAAAAATGGATGAAGGTATCTCTGTCTCAAAATTCTGCAAGGAATATGGCATTGAAAAGTCAACAACATATGACGTAAGATAACAGAAAAAGGAACTTTCTGAATTTTGTGGATTCCAACACCCCCGCTCGCTACAAATAACAGAAAAATTACACGTTGTGCTGAAAGATCATGACAAAGGGATAATTGAATGAGGCAGACAGCATCGCAGCAAGGGACTACCATTGATAAGTCATATGCTAATGGGGAAGCTAAAATATTTCACTAAGAAATGAACTTAAAAAACTGAGTGCACATATTAGACAGGTTGGTTATACAAATTTAAAAATCCCCATGGTATAAGACAATTAAAAATTTCAGGTGAAAAAGCTTCAGCTGATACTGAAGCTGCTGAACAATTTGCAGATGAATTCATTGAACTCATTAGTAATGAACAATTATTTCCAGAACAAATTTACAATGCTGATGAAACTAGTCTTTTCTGAAAATATGTACTGCAAAATACCTTGGCAACCTCTACAGAAAAGTCTCCAACTGGTGTCAAAGATTCCAAAGCGAGATAAACAATTTTAGCGTGCGCAAATGCTGTAAGAACACACGAGTGCAAACTTTTCATAATTGGAAAACATACGCGACCTCGAACATTTAAAGGAGTAATTATTTTCCCCGTTATATATCGTGCAATTAAAAGAGCATGGATGACACAAGCATTGATGAATAATTGGTTTGAAAATCATTTTATACCCAAGGCTCGGCAACATTTTAATTCGGTTGGTTTACCTGATTACTCAAAAATAGTCCTGATTGTTGACAACTGTTCGCCGCATACTTCACTTAAAGTTTTAGTGAAAGATAATGTATCCATATTATTCTTTCCTCCAAACTGTACATCCATCATTCAGCCTATGGATATTGAAATAGAAATAGTATGCACACTGAAATGCAAATATAAAGCAGAATTTTAAAAATCCATGTTAAATTTCTTGAATAATGGCAAGACTACTCAAGAATATTTTTAATATTTTAGTGTAAAATCTGCTTTGTGGAGCATCGCAAGATCATGGGATGATGTGTCTCCAGATAAAAATGCTTGGCAAATTTATGGCCAGATAGCACATTTCATGGTGATGTTGATGAATATGATAGCTGTGAATGTGAAGGTTTCTGGACATTGCAAACCAAAGGTTAAATTTTCCAATTAATGAAATTTTTAAAGAAATGTGGAGAAGCAGTAATAAATAAAGATGATATAACAGAAGTTTTTCATTGCGATGACATTGCCCCAATATCAATTAATTAACGGAGGTAAAATCTGTAACATGGTTCTAGATTAAGAAAATACTGCTACCAACAGAAGAAAGTTATTGAAAAAAAAAAAAAAATTTCGATTGACAAGTTAGTCAGAATTCTCGACATTGCAATTACAGGATTTGAACAATGAGACTTTGTAATTGAATTAAGAAATTATATCTGTCTACAGAATTAAAGAGAAAATATTAACACAAAAAAGCAACTTAAACAACTTACATTGAAAGAAATGTTTAATAAAGTAAACAAATAAATATTAAGCTTTTTTTTTTGTGTGTGTGTGTAAATTTTGTTACCCCTTAGATCATAAATGCTTTATTATTTCATAAATCACGATTTCATATTTTTAATTTTAAAATTTCTACATGACATCTTACAAGAAGTAAACTGATGATCTAATATTCGAAAAAATCCCAAATCTGGAATCACCGAAGTCCTAACGAGTCTGAATCTCAAACTTTGCACTGCATTGAATTTAATTTTGTGATATAATAACTTTCTTTTAACAGATGATTTCACAATATTTGTACCAATCTATATATTCCAGAATATATACAATTTAATAACATACTGTTGTGGATAAAACTAAACATTACTAAACATTGTGACATATGCTATCACTGCTGTTATCACACCACATTTCTTTTCTCTGTTTTAACTTTCATTCTCTAGTTTTTTTAGTAATTAATCTAAGAAATTTTATGTTATTCTGACAGTCTGTGATAGTAATTTTTCTATAATCTTGCAATAAATTAACTTTAATTTTAGACAAGTCTTGGTTGCTCCCTGCCCAGTTAATCAAGTGAGTGCATTACCAACTATGAAGTTAATTATGGTAAAGAATTTCACCCAGATAGTTTTAGCAACATGAGTAGATGGGTTTTGCAAATGCAAAGTTTATGTAATTTGCATAAAGAAAAAGGATCCACCTACTAAAATGTTGGTTATGCTTTAATAAATTGAATAAAAAAATTTCCATTTCTTTAATTGCAAAATCTATCAAGATAGTGCTATGAAATGAACAGCTGCTGCAAGTCAGCTTCCCCACAAAGCAGGTTAGGGTTGCCAGAAAATGGCAAGGAAAGGCAGGGTTGCCAGGTGTGGCACAAAATCCCCCATTTTGTGACAAAATTGCTGATGTGCCATAGACGGAGTAAGAACATTCTAGAACGAATTCTTAGCATTTTTCCCAAGAACATTCTTGAAGACAGGTAAAAAGCTATATATACCCTACCTGTACTCAAAGTAGTATATCTGGAGAGTATCTATAGTATGCTGAAATCAGAGATTAGCTTGAGAGTGACCAAACTGAGTTGGGAGCTTTACTTTAATACTTTGCCATGAAACTGTCTTCACCTTTGAAGTGTGAAGGCTGTGTTGCTCATTATTTCAGTGTGTTTATTGTAGTTTTTTGACCACTGTAAACATGTTTTGGGGACTCTCCTGTGTAATACTGGCAAATAAACTGTGCTTTGATTCTTCATCAAGTGTTGGCATCAATAACTTTAAAAATCTAAGAACCCGTAAAATGCAACAAATTCTATTTGACCAACTAATAAAATTAACAGAGTTCTGTTTTATCTAATATTTAATATAATAATCAAAACAAGCAACTTTGATGAAGCAAAGGCCTCCCTGAATCTTATTGAAATCTTTAAATAATAAGCATTGAAAAATTTTTTTAAGTCAGGATATTCATTCTTTGATATCTCGACAAATTTTTTACCCAAAGGCATCAATTCTGAAATACCTTTGGAAAATGAAAACTGAAAGGAATTCCAGTAATATGAATGTTTTTACATTTTTATAAGCAAAATCTTAACTACTCAAAGCATAACGAATATTTTACTGGTTGTTGCTTTTGAAGAACCATAAGAATGCTAATAATATCACATTTGCAAAACCCTCTTGAAATGTGTTTTATACATGAGAAGAGCAGCATTCAAATTTTTTTCATAAAACTTTATCTTATCTTAAGAAGCTCTGTAACAACTGGAAATACAGGTATAGGATTAATAGTTAAGGTAAAAAGGCCAGTGGCTAATTTTTTGAATACCCTGCATAATATAATGCAAAACAAATCTATATTTGAAACAATAATAATTAGTTTTACAATTCTGTTTTATTTTTATTACTTTATGATTTTATACCTAAATTTCTTTAAATAACAAACTATTTAACTATATATAAATAGAAAACACTACTAATTTATCATGGATTATTTACTAAATGAAACTGAAACATTAAGAGTTTATTATCATAATTAAAATAATTCATTTGGTCAGAATGAACTAGCAAAAAAAAATTAGGAAACTACATAAAATTTGTGTTAACCAAACAATTTGCAATCAGCAAGTTTTTCCCGTACTAAGTAAAGTTAAATTTTCTTTCCATATTGATGATAAAAATACAGATATTAATTTACATACGTGTAACATTATCATCATCATCCTTGATGAAATTCTGATTTCTGTTTTACAGCTTTCTTTAAATGTAAATGTTTATATTTACACATATACACACACATGTAATGCACAGATTAAAAATTTGCAAAACTTACTTTATTCGAAACAGGAAACTGAATGTCTATATTTTGTTTATATTCCATACTGAAAAGAGAATTAAAATCGTTAAGCAAATTATTGCATGATGTAAATACAATCAATTCTGCTCAAGACTGCTGCACTTTCATTAACCGGACGTCCATTATCCAGAATGATCTATAATTTGGACGAATGAGGTAGGCAATTTATAATCTATCCTGGACCAGTCTATCCTGCATAGAGTTTTTTGGATGAGATAGGAATAAACAAATAAAATTTATCTCCTACTTTACATTTTTAAGGAATAGCTCAACGATTAAAGCATGTCAAATAAGCTGCCTGTTTCTCATACTATCAAAGATGCTTGATCAGCTGCTTGTTTATTTTCATTCCCCCCACGTCAGTCTGTAGCGATATCTACCACAAGAATTTTAGCAGCCCAATAAAATTTAGCCTTGGTAAAGTTGTCAGATTTAAAAGTCATACAGTCAAGTGCAGTGCAAGTTGTCAAATGAAGAAAGTCCGTGGTTTCATCCGACAGACAAAGAGGACAGACATCATCAGCAACTACGCTAATGTGGTGCAAGTGTTTATATAGAAAGTCATGTCCTGTTGAGAGTCGAAAATTTGCTGTAAAACCTGCACGGGGCAAGTCTATTGGGATAGGCGAAAATGCAAGAGTATTCCTCACCTTTATCATTTGAAATGAGTTTATACAGTACAAAGTCTGTAATCCAGATGTCCATTATCCAAATACTATATCGGCCTCAAAGCCAAATTTGCATGCGATAAAGCGTTTACCCATGCACACTCCGTCGTGAGAAAGTGACAGAGAGGTTATTGAAAATTAAAAAATTTCGTTGCAAGTTAGTCGTATTCTCCATAGAAATTACAGGACTGAACAGTGGAACTTTGTAACGAACAGAAATGATGTTGTTCTAGAATAGAGAACGTTTAGCACAAAAAACAAGCACTTTAAATCACTAACTTGAAAGAAATGTTTAATAAAGTACGAATAAATCTTAAGCAATTTTTTTGTAAATTTTGATACACTTTAGATCATAATTATTTCATAAATTATGGTTCCATATTTTTAACTATATAATTTCTGCATGTCATCTTTCCAGATTTAAATTGATGATGTATAATCCGGAAAAACCCCTAATCCGGAATCGCCGCAGTCCCGACAAGTCCGGATTACGGACTTCGTACTGTATATTAGTTTCAATCAATTAAGCCGAAACCCAAATATTTGAAGCCTGAATTAAAAATTTAGAAAGATGTAAAAACTCAAACTAGAGTTTAAAATAACTATACACTGGCATGCCTCTGGTTATTACACAATGTGAAACATCACATGTTAGAGTGTGATCAACAGGAAATATGTTAATACCATATGCATTTTTTTTAAGCTATAACTCAAATATTTCTTTAAAAAATGTATAAAAATTATTAAAACAAAACAGATAAAATGTCTGAAATTTGTTTGGATTAAGCTAAAATTATACATTATGCAAAAAGAATGAAAAAAAATTAGCATATACATAAATTATATTTATATATTAATATATAAAATATATGCTATAATTATTATTATGTTAAATATATTTTATTTTTTTAGTTTTAGAAAGGAGAGGGAGAATAATCTTCTAGCAATAGTGAAAGGGGTGCAAGGGACAAAATTGATTCAGAACCACTGAAGAAGGTGGACAACATGTACCGGCCATAAAAACATAAATATACGGCCACATAGAAATTTTGTTTTTCTCTTTTAATATGCTATTTCTTTACAAAATGCTTCTTTTTTACTATTGTTTATGGACAAAACAGTATCTATGAGTTATAAACTTGGACACAGAACTGTTCTTTGCCAATTCACAAAGTTGGGTGTGGATTTTATAATCAAAAATGCCCCCTCACACACACATACCTCTTTTTGTATTATTATTATTTGCAATAAATCATTCACAAAAAACTCAAGTAGTCTAATCTTTGGAATATGGTAACAGGTAGTTTGCAACATTTCGGTAAGGCGATAAAGGTTACTAGCTAGGACTTTAGCAGTGTACATGGTTAAAGTCAAGAGTGTGCACAATGCCATTTTTTTTGCAATTCTGGCTGGTGTTCTGGTTTGGTCTTTCTGTGCTGGTGGGGGGGGGGGTCTGGTTGTGTGTTTGGGGGTGGGGGGTTTGGTTGTTCTGGGTCTCTTGTTTTTCTGTTGGCTTTGGGCTGGGCTGAGGCGGGTTTGCTTTTTGTTACTTGTTTGTTTGTTGTTTTTTTCTTTTTATTGTGGTGTTTTATCTGTCTTGTGTTTTGGTTTTTGTTGGTTTGTCTGTATTTGTGAGTCTTTTGGGTTTTGCTGTTTGGGTCATGTCTTGGGTTGTTTGGGGGGGTTTTTGGTGTAGTCCTGGGTGGGGTTGGGTTGGTGGTCTGTGGCTTGTGTTGTTTTGTTGGTTGTTTTCTGTTGTTTGTCTTGTATGGGCTGTGGGGGTGTTTTGCTGTTTTCTTTCTTTTTTCTTTTGATTCTGTTCTTTGTTACTTTGTTTTTTGTTGTTCCTTTGGTTTGCTTCTATTGTTATTTTTTGTTTTGATTTTTGTTCTTGTGTGTGATCTTTTGTTGGTGGGGGTTGATGGTTCTTTGTGGTTCTTTTTGATTTTTAGTTTCTTTTCTTTTTTTTTTGGTTTGGTATTTTGTTGTTTTGTATTTCTTGGTTTGGGGGTATTGCTCTTGTGGTTTCTTTTTTTTATTTTTTTTACTTTCTTGTTTTGGTTTTGTTTTGGGGTTTTTCGGGGCTTTGCTTGTGGGATTCTGGGTGTCTGGGTGGGGGGTCTGGGGGGGGTGGGGTGGTTGTGGGGGGGGGGGTGCTTGGTCTGGTGTCTGGGGTTTGTGTGGGGTGGGGGTGGGTGGGGGGTTGTGTGTTACTCTGGGTTGGTGGCTGGTGTTCCGGTGTTTTGCTTCTGGTTTGTGTTTCTTTGTTTTTGTTTTTGTTAGTTGTGTTGTCTGTTTTCTTGTTTTGGGCTGGGGTTTGTTTGTGTGTTGTTCTGTTGCGCTGCTGTCTTTGTTTGTTTTTGTTGTGGGCTTTTGGCTTTCTTATTTTTTTTATTTGTCCTTTGTTGTGTGGTATGTTTTTCTTCTCTGCTGGGTGGTGGGTCTGTGTGGTTGGGTGGTCTGCTTCTGTCTGGGGTCTGTTGCTTTGGTTCTTCTGGGGGTTTTGTGGTTCTTTTTTGGGGTTTGTCTTGGGGTGGCTCTTGGGTGGTTGTTTTTCTGTGGGGGGGTTGTGGGCTGGGTGTGTGTGCTGTGGGTTTGTGTGGGCGTGTTTCTAGTTTTGTCTTTATTGGGTGTTGTGTGAGGTCTTTTGTGTTGGTCTGGGTGGTTTTTGTGTTTTGGGTTTTGATGTTTGTTGTTGGGGGTTGTTTCGTGTATGCTTTGTTTTGGTGCTTTTCTGGGATATGTATATTTGTGTGTGTTTTTCTTCTTTTTTTTTGTCTTTGGGTTTGTCTTTGGCTTGTTGTGGTTTTATTCTTCTTTTTTTTATGGGTTTGTTTGTCTTGGTTTTATTCTGTTTCTTTGGTTGTTTTTTTTCTTTGAGTGATTTCGTTATTTTTGTTACATTTGTTGGGGGAGTTGGAACTATGTTAGGCTTTTTTGATTTGGGTTTGTGGTTTTATTGGGGTGTCAATTTTGTTCTTATTTTCTTCTTCTGCACTTTTGTTGTTTTTCTGTTGTGTTGTTCTGTTTGTGTTTTTTTGTTCGGCTCGATTCTCTTTGTGTATGGTTTTTGTGGTGTTGTTTCTTCTTTTTTTTGTGTTTTATGGTTTTTTTTTTTGTTTGTGTGTTATGTTTATTTTCTCTTTTTGTCTCTTTTTGTTTTCTGACTCGTTGTTGATTTTTTCTTATGGTTCTTTTACTTGCTGGTGGATTTTTTTTTTCTTTCATGTGGGGTTCTGGCTGGGGGGGGGGGGTCCTGGGGTCTGTTGTGGGGGGGGCTGGTCTGTGGGGGTTCTGGGGGGGTGTCTGTGGGGGGGATGTCGGTCTTGTTCCGGGTGGGCTCTGCTTCTTTGTGGGGTGGGGCCTGGGTTCTTCTGTCTGGGGGCCGGGGGGGGGGGGGGGGGGGTAGTTTGGTGTGTGTGGGTTCCTGCTTTGGGGTGGTCTGTTGGTTGGTGGTTGTGTCTTGTTGTGTGTTGGATCTGGGGTCTGGTCTGGGGGGGTCTTTCTTGGGGGGGTCTGGGGTTGGGTGGGTGGTAGGGGGTGGGGCTTGGGAGGGGGGGTGCTGTCTGGGGGGTTCTGGTGGGGGGCCTGGTGCCTGGCTGGCTTCGGGTGGGGGGTTTGTCTCTTGGTGGGGATTCTGGGGTGTTCTTGGGGTCTGGTGTCTGCTGTCTGGGGGGCTGTCGTGGGTGGGGGGGGGGTGGGTTTGGTGTGTTGTGGTGTTGTGGGGGGTGTTGGGGGTGGTGCTTTCGGGGGGGTGTTTTCTTGGGGTTGTCTGGGGGTTTTGCTGGGGGGTTCTGTCTTGAGGGTTGGGTGTTGTTCTTCTGTTTCTGTTTGGTTCGGGGGTTTTTTATTTATCTTGTTCTGGTGTCTTTCTGTTGGGGGCTTTCTGGGTGGGGGGCTCTGGTCTGGTCTGCTCTTGGGGGGCTGTGGGTGGGGGCTGGGGTGGCTGGGTGGGGGGGTGTGGGGGTGTGGTGTGGCTCTGGGGTTGGTTGTGTTCGGGTGCTGTTTGGGGGGTATTTTGTGGGGGTTTTGGTTTTTGTGGGTTGTGGTGGTGGTGTGGTTTTTGTGGCTGGTGGTGTTTTTTTTTTGAGGTTGACCTTGCTGGGTGTTGGGTTTGTGGGGAAGTGGGGGAAGAGGGGAGGGGACGGGCTTGAAGGCAAGGTAGCGGTGTAAATACAGAATGGAAGCAATGAATGTTGTTCTTCTTTATTCTTGACGTTTGCGTTCTTTTTTCTTGGGGTGGCTTTGGTTTGTTGAACGGTTAGTTCTTTTTTTTTTGTTGCTTTGTTTGGTGTGGATCTGTTTATTTGGGTTTGTTTTTTTTTTTGTCTTTGTTGGCTTATTCTTTTTCTGGATC